TTTCCCCCCCCCCCCCCCCCTCCGGTTTGGGCCAGAGGTGCACCTTGAGAAGCTCACTTGCAAGGAACGGTGAGAAGAACTGTGTCCCTCCCGCTCCAGTGAGGGCTGGACTTTCCCTCCCACCTCCCTGCACCCTCTACCCACCAGGCCGCAGAATCTCTGCTGCCCGCCCCGAGGCCACAGGGCTCTCTGGTTTTAGGGCTGAGTTATGAAAACTACAGCTCTAACAGGGAGAAGCAATCCCATGGTGAAGTCCGAAGGAAGATGAAAACAGAGAGCGGCTTGGGGGGACCCCTCCCCCTCTTCCTAGTCCTTGTGCATGAAACCCACGGCTCCCCTTCGCCTCCAGCGGCAGGGATGGGGCACAAAGAACAATGGGAAAATGTCACCAGCTCCCCGATGGGGACTCAGGGACGGGGTCTTCTCAAGGGCAGCCTCTGAAGTGAAAGGAGTCGCTCCCCACTTTTCCTACTGATGCAAATAGCCCTCCACCCTGGCGGGGGATTGTGGAAGCCGCTTCCAAAGGGCTCTAATGGGGCCGCCAGACGCTGAAGGGAGCGTCCTTACTTCCCAGACGGGCCAGTCGCACACTGCAGGAGCAATGATTCCAGTGAACAGACAGACTTCCTAGAAGATGCCATTATGGGAAACTAAATCACTCCCTACCACCCCCCCAAAATAGCTCTTAAGCCCAAGGATCTTTCAGAGCCCATCAGAGGAGAGAGTTCTGAGTGGACTGCTGGAGCTTTTTAGGTGATATCTTTTTCTGAATTGCTTTTTCCAGAACAAATGACTTCCATTATGTTCAGCCAGGGACCAATTCTTCACTCAAGTATGTAAAGCAAAATAGGGCTTGTGCTCCGGATGTGTTACTCACAGCAGAAACCTTTACTGACGGCTGCCCCAGACCGGTGATTGAAGTGTGTTATATAAAGGCCCGGGTCCAAGTGAGAGGGTGAACTTGACCTCTGGATCCAGTCTCAAACGCTGGTTAAGATGTATTCAGAGTGCTATGTCGCACGTAAGGGACACTGGAATTTTCAGAAAACAGTTGCTGAGAGACCCCGTTCACACAACACACATTGATGGAGCAGCTGTTGCCTACACCCTCCCATTCGTTTATTCCTGTATTTATTCATTTATACAGGGGTGGGCGAAAGTAGGTTTACAGTTGTTCCTATGGAAAATAATACAGTAATTAATAAATAATAATAATACAAGAGTAAACTCTGTGTTTCCATACTCACAACTGTAAGCCTACTTCTGCCCACCCCATCTAATAAGGTGCCAGACATGGGGTTACATTTTATGGACAATCAAGGTGGTTGTCAATACATTTCAAGGTCTTGAAAGCCTTGCTGGACACTCTGCTGGAGAGCCCCATCCCTGGGCCAGGTGTGAATCCTGTCCAGTGGTTCTCAACCTTCCTAATGCTGCGACCTTTAATACAGTCCCTCATGTTGTGGTGACCCCCAACCATAAAATTATTTCCCATGTGGGAATCAACCAATTGATGTGTCTCTCTCACACTGATACTTCTCTTTTTCTCTCTCCTTCCCTCCCTCCCTCCCACTCTCTCTAAAATGTGTCTCTCTCCCTCCCTCCCACTCCTTTCACTTCATAACTGTAATTTTGCTACTGTTATGAATCGTAATGTAAATATCTGATATGCAGGATGTATTTTCATTGTTTGCGACCCACAGGTTGAGAACTGCTGCTCGTCACTTGCTACATTTCAATGTGTTAGTAATCCCCACAGCTGTTGCTAACATAGCCCTGAATACAATGATGAACTAGAACAAGCATGTCAAACTCATGGCCCGAATGCCTTGTTTATTTGGCCCGTGTTAGCCTTTGAGTTTGACATGCTTGCACTAGAAGCCAACAGTCTAGGGCTCGCTGCTCTAAATTAGGTGTTACTCACAGAGAGACATGATATAAGGGCTTTGAGTCTCAAGCTGACCTGAGCCTAAAGGCCTGCATAGACCCCAGGATGTTCTTGGTTCCCACTGAAGGGGAGCAGCAGGAGGCAGGAAGGCCCCTCTGATCAAGGCTGGGTGTGAGATGGGGCTGGGACAAGCAATGGAGTTGTGTTCAGGATGATGAACCAGGCCAGGAACTGCCTGGGCTCTGGGTGCTCTGTCTCCCACCTGGCCCAGTGGGGGTGTAGCTGCCTGTGGAAAAGGGCCTGACACACTCTGAGACCAGCAGGTGCCCGAGCCGGGGGTGTTGGGTGAGCAGGATCACTCTGTTCTGAGCTCCCACCTCAATGCTGGGGCTTCTTGTCACATATTGAGATCCTGTTTAGGTCTGTCCCCAGGTAGACTCCAGGACCTTGACTCCCAACTTTTCTTCCCTTCTCTACCTTCCCAGAAACTGAATTCTGAATCTTTGATCCCTGCCGGCCAACTCCTGGTTAGCAGACACCCAGCTCGGTCTCCCCTGGACCCTAATGTTTTGTGTCTGCCTTCTCCCCAGTCTTCATTCATTCATTCATTCATTCATCACTCAAACATTCATTCACTAACTATGGATTGAGCACCTGTCATGGCCAGGCACTCTGCAGGTGCTGGGGATATAACAGTGACCAAGATGGACATGCCCCTGCCCTTAGGGGCTAATAATTTGGCCAAATAACAGAAAGGTACAAATTGTTCTTAAAATTTATTCTTAAATAATCATGTTTAAATATAATACTTTAGAAGCTGGTGTTCTAGATTGGGATGTTAGATATTTTTCCCCCATTTTTTTAATTGTCCAAATTATTTATAATGTTATGTGCTTGTTATATTCTAATTTTATTAATAATTATATCTAATTGTGCTGTTATAATTTTATTAGTATTGTTTATATATTTAATTCTTAAAAAACTTTGAACATATATAGTTAGAAATCCATAGGCCTTGCATAGCAACCCCATCGACCAGATTAAGGCTTCCTGAGGATAAGAGAGATTCAAGGCATGGCCTCCTCCTGGTGGGGGTGGGAGGGGACCTAACTTAATACTGACAGTAGCATTTCTAGAGGAGGCTTGCCCTGTTTCAGGCACCATGCTAAGCATTTTGTATGGATTCTCTCATGTCTCACAACCCAAGAGTTAGTTACAATATTATCCTCAATTCACAGATAAGGAAACTTAAGACTCGGTGAGGTTAAATAACATGTTTTAGGGGAAAAAAACCTTTTCATGTTTGAATCTGCAACTTATTTGGCTTTGCTACACCTAAATGCAAAGGTGGTAAACAAAATATTTAATGGGCATGGCATGGACACTAACCAATCAGAAGAGATGCCAGGCTGTGGAGCAGAGGCAGGTCTGAGGGCCAGGGCCACTGGAGGCGGGGCAGAGGAGACAGAGGGGCTGGGATAGCCAAGTCATGGATGGGGTTGGCTAGGATAGCATCTGTTCATGGACCATTGAGGGGGTGTTTGAATATGCTAACAACTCAGACAGCCGTACCTGTAGAGCCCTGCCCAGGTGAAATGGACAAGTCCCCCCTCCTGTGGGTCACTGAGTGACTGCTGGGGCAGTTGTGTTCATCAGCAAATTGGAGAGTTACTAAGGGTCAGGTTGACTTTTACAAAGTCTTAGTGTAAGGGGATATGCAGAGATGGTGAGCATAGTTTTATACAAGCTTTTAGGTTACCGAAAGCGTTCTTTCCTGATTCTAGACCACAGTACCCAAATCAGAAGTCTATGGGCCTAATTCAGCCTGCAGATGTTTTATTTAAACCATACAGTGATTTCTCACTTTAAACAGCAAAAGCTAACATTTCTGTAGCACTCTAGGTAGAGGCATGTATATGCTTTCCATATGTTAACTCAATCTACATCAAACCTGCGAGGTAGGTACTATTTTTACCATACCCATTTTACAGATAAAGAAACTGAGGCACAGACAGGTTGAGTAACTTGCCTAGAGTGGCACAGTTAATTAATAAGTGGCAGAAGTGGAATTTGAACAGAAGCCGTCTGACTCCAGAGTACAAGTTGTTGATCGCTATGCCCCTCTGCCTGTCTGGTATGTCTGAATTCTGTGCCGACATCTGAAAATCAAGAGCGGTAAGATAAAGATCCAGACTTACAGCTTGTCAGACTGAAAATCAGCAGTTACTAGTATAACAGCCCCAAGTTTACGCTCCCTCGAGGTAAGAGTCAGCCCCCTCGACGAGGGGATGCGTTTCCCCAAGTCCCACCATTCCCCGCTGCCTTCCAACACGGAGGCTGACAGCCATTGTCCGTTTGTCATCAGACTAGCACTGTTGTTTCCTTACGCATGGCCCTCTTCACTCATTTGTGACCTGCCTGGCCCCTGTAGACATTTGTGACCCTCAATTAGACTCCTCCTAAAGACAAGATGCCCACCCTGGCTGTGTGCTCAGTGGTTAGATCATCGACTCACACACTGAGGGGTCTCAGGTTCCATTCCCGGTCAAGGGCATGTACCTGGGTTGCAATTTCAATCCCTGGCCCTGCTGTGGGGCCATGTGGGAATCAACCAATTGATGTGTCTCTCTCACACTGATACTTCTCTTTTTCTCTCTCCTTCCCTTCCACTCTCTCTAAAAAGCAACGGAGAAAATATCCTGGGGTGAGGAATAACAACAACAAAATAATAATAATAAACACAAGATACCCTTTTGCTATAACACATATATTAGGATGTGCAGAAGTATACGAGGAGCTCCCTTCTCTTGTGAATTGAT